CAATGATCAACAAATCATTATAGTCGCATCATGATGATCAATCAATCATTATAATCGTATCACAATGATCAACCAATCATTATAATCGTATCACAATGATCAACCAAGCATTATAGTCATATCATGATGATCAACCAATCATTATAATCGTATCATGATGATCAGCCAATCATTATAATCGTATCATAATGAATAACCAATCATTATAATCGTATCACAATGATCAACCAAGCATTATAATCGTATCACAATGATCAACCAATCATTATAGTCATATCATGATGATCAACCAATCCTTATAATCGTATCATAATGATCAGCCAATCATTATAATCGTATCATAATGATCAGCCAATCATTATAATCGTATCATGATGATCAGCCAATCATTATAATCGTATCATAATGAATAACCAATCATTATAATCGTATCACAATGATCAACCAATCATTATAATCGTATCATGATCAACCAATCATTATAATCGTATCATAATGAATAACCAATCATTATAATTGTATCATAATGATCAGCCAATCCTTATAATCGTATCATAATGATCAACCAATCCTTATAATCGTATCATAATGATCAGCCAATCATTATAATACTATCGTAATGAATAACCAATCATTATATTCGTATCATGATGATCAACCAATCATTATATTCGTATCATAATGAATAACCAATCATTATAATCGTATCATAATGATCAGCCAATCATTATAATCATATCATGATCAACCAATCATTATAATCGTATCATAATGATCAACGAATCATTATAGTCGTATCATGATGATCAACCAATCATTATAATCGTATCCAGATGATCAACCAATCATTATAGTCGTATCATGATGATCAACCAATCATTATAATCGTATCACAATGATCAACCAATCATTATAATCGTATCACAAAGATCAACCAATCATTATAGTCGTATCATGATGATCAACCAATCATTATAATCATATCACAATGATCAACCAATCATTATAATCGTATCACAATGATCAACCAATCATTATAATCGTATCACAATGATCAACCAATCATAATCGTATCACAATGATTACCAATCATTATAATCGTATCACAATGATTACCAATCGTTATAATCATATCACAATGATTACCAATCATTAAAATCGTATCACAATGATTACCAATCATTATAATCGTACATGCATCTTCTATATTACATGTAGGTGGGAAGACAATTGATGAATTGACTCGGGTCTGTCAAAAGATAGCAGAAAAACAGCTTGAAATAGATTCATCCGATGAGGAACCTATTAACAAACCAATTAACAGTGATGATGAAGAACAGGGTCCATTTGTTCATCATCCCTTCCAGGTTAAAAGTCATCCATTGCCGACCATAGTTATGAACATCAAGGTATGCTGTGACACCACTTGCTTTGTTCAGGATTTCCTATACAATGTACCGTAAAAATTGTAATTGAGGCCGTGGCTTAAGGTAGCGAGACTATTATTTGTGCTGAAAATTATGATTTTCATATTTATTTATTAATTGATGAAATGCACTATAAACTTTCATGTGATAAAGTCAACATAACATAGAAAATGTCATGTAAGTTGGTTAAAATGTAGATTTTCTTGAAGGG